AGACACATGGTGGTGTGCCTAAGACTGACTTTACCTCTTCACTCACTCTGCTCCTGTTCCCCCTTCAGTTTTGTGGTTCCACACTGATGTTTTTCTAAAGCCCCAAGTCTTGGAACCACGACATCTCATGGGAATCTCAGCTTTTCTTTCAATAAAGAAATTTCTGTGCATTACAGTTACAACAAAAGAACTGGAAAATATGAGTTTAATAGGCTTAAAAACCAAAAGGAACTGAAAAATATTACAAGATCAATGGTTAGTAAACCAAACACATAAGTTTGGGAAGCCTGAGCCATGACTGGGATGTAGAGGACACCTTTTGGGATTGGTGATAGAGCACAAATCTTTAGAGGCAAATGAGCAGCTATTAGAAATGCTTTGAAAAACATCTCTAAAAAAAGGAGAGCGAAAAAGGTTTCATGTCCTCTGCATTCTCAGCTTACAAGAATAACACTTTCTTCCACTTTTTTCCTCATTGCCAGTCTAACAAACTAAAACTCTGTGTAACCACAGTAATGCAGGTTCTCAAAATAAAGCATTCAGCAACACCTCTCCAAGTCTTTCTGCCACTCCAGACTTCGCTGAGGGCTGCAATAGCTCTTTCCCCTCCCCCCTATCTTAACACCACAAAATTAAAATACTGTTTAAAGTAGTGGTAAAACATTTTCATTGTCCCCACGAGCAAAAATTCCAGTTCATTGTAAGACGATCACCATATGTAATCACAATTATTCCAAATATCTTCAGTAGACAATACATTACTTTTATTTTTTCATATATCATTATTCTATCTTTTATTGTATATTCTCGTTAAATATCCATGCACTACACTTGGCCTCTTAAGAAATTTATGGCAAAGTAACTTAAAGCCATAACTAATTTAATGTGTCAATAAAACATGTTTCTTTACCACAGCAATCATCCTTCTCAACACATGACTGAATACAAAAGGGAATGCACATCAGATTAATTCCTTTGTACTAATTTATAACTGCCACAGCTTTATAGACATCTAATTTGAGAAAAGCTTCTAATCAGAGTCCTGCAAACGGCTCCCTTTATCATCGGATTGGACGTTTCAATTATTTCCTGACCTAGTGCATCTGACCCTATGGACTTGGGGTACATGACGGGGCCATGCTGAGCATCATCTTCAACTGCCACCCAGCAACGTGGCGCCTCCCCTCTTCATGACCCCATTCTCCAAAGGCCAAGAACTGCAGCTCTAGCTTGGCTGGGAAGAGACTTAGTAGTGCCCAGCAATTGTTGGAGTGGCAACAGAGAATGAGGAAAACAAACAAATAAATAAAAATCAACACTTGAATGAGTCTTTGGCATACTTTAATGAGAGTGCTAAATATCCGTTAAAAGATTTGTTACTTGGGACTACTTTTGAAAAAAAAAAATAAAAAATCAAGAGATCAAACCAAAAAACCTGTCCATTCCGAGTTCACATATTTTGTAGTATGCTTCCCTAGGAACAGTTTTGGTTTGGTGTTGGTCTTTTTTAAATACAAAGGGCACACTTCAATTTTAGAGATGATACCTCTCTACAAAAACTTTTTTTTTTTTCGTTTTTTAATAGCAGTACCTCAGGTTAATCTGTGGAAGTAATCTTCAAAATTGCAGATTTTGTAACTGTGTCCTTGTTATCCCTGTCTTTGGGTTGATCTCAAAAGCGTTCACCAGAGCCTACAAGCTGCATGAGCGATGCTATCACAGAGCTTTGGCTACCCCTGCCACCAGTAATCTTTTCAGTGAGGTAAAATGACAGAAGCCGCTATCACAATGACAGTTCTGTTAGTGTTATATGGCTACAGAAAACAGATCACCTTTGCACTGCACAGTTTGCATCCAAAGGTAATAAAGCAATGATTCAAGTATGTGCCTTCATTAGTTGCTATAACCCTATGTAGTTAGCAGGGCTTAAAAAGCCTTTCCTGAATTAGAGCCAAGAAATCACAAGCGTAGGAAAGGCAGAAGATGACAGGTATATGTCAACCCAAACAAACACACATGAGGAAACTTTCAAACACACACACTGCTCCAAATGACTTAGCAAAAATACTAATACCGAGGCCACATGAAAAATGGCATCAGTGAAAGGTTCAAACATACCAACCTATACACGTAACAGTAGCAAAAAGGACCACAAAAGGACCTCATGACTTGCCTGAATTACTTATTAAACAAGTAAGCAGATATTTTCACTTCTCTTCTAGCTTTAACCTTCTAGGTCACTACAAAGGTTTAAAATAAAATAAATTTAAAATAAAATTTAAAACAAAACAAAACAAAACAACACAACCCCATAAAAAACACCAACAAACATCAGAAAAACAACCCCAAAAACACCCCACAGGAAGTGTCAAGAGCTCAGTTGGTTAGCTCCAAGTCTTTCCTTGTGGGCACAGCTTATACCAAGGCTCCGCCATCAACTCCTTCAGGCCTAAAATATGCCTTTGGACAGTTGACTTCTATTCTCACATCCTGCCCGAGGAAGGAGAACACATTAGCAGATGTCCTGAAATCACTGGAGCTGCCAACAAACTAAGTTCACCACTTGAAGATTTCCAAAGCTGCACATTCTTAACATCTACCCTCACTTAAAAGTCAAGTCAATACTGTCTTTGCAAGATGTTGTCAAGACGATAAATTACAAACCAAGATGACTACGCATTCATTTTTTCTTTTTTAAATTGTAAGTAAAACAACAAGAAAAATGACACATTATAACCTAGTTTTTGAATCATAACATGCCTTTGCAGGGATGCATGCAGTCATATTGCTACATGTCGACATTGTTTATGGAGGGCTCTCTAGGTGTGTGAGAAAAAGCCAGCATTCCCATAAATGAACACATTTAAAACCGAAACTTTTATCGCAGTGCTCTGCATCATTTCTGGTTTGCCAACTGAGACACGGAAGAGAAGCAGAGTCAAAGTTTAATGGCTAAGCATCTGCACGGACCTGAGAACAATACCAATATTCATTAAGAGCCCGATCTCAAACTGCCATCTCATATTTTCAAGACAAGCGCCCTATTAATACATTTTCTAACCTTAGCACAACTCTTCTGTTTTCATCTCAAAGCACCCACACACACATTGGTAAAGGGCTCCCAAAATTATGACAACTACGTGCCACATACACCAAAGAAAAATTTAAAAATAAATCTCGAGGAAGCTATATATTGTGCCTTGCCAACCACAGGGAACTGCACAGCCAGGAGTTGCTACAGCCAGATTTAGCTTTGTACAAGCTAACAGGATTCCTTTATAAATTTAGCTAGAGGCACGGGCAACAAACGCTTGTGGAAATTTGAACCGCAACTCTCCAGCAGCAAAGATTGTTCCCTCCAAGAATGAAACAGTAGCAAAAGAAGAACTATTAGTAGGCTCTTATTACACAGCTTTCAAAACACCTATAAGTCATCAGGTTCTCCAGGCAGCGTTATTAAATTGCTGAAGTACCAGCAACATTAAAAGAAAAAAAAGCCGGGCCACAGCTGTTTCAGAGCCTGCCAATTAATAATTAAAGGAGGAAAAAAAAAGCCAACTAAAGAGAGGCCGTGTTGGAAGCCAGCTGAACGTACAGCTAAGTTTGTTTCGGGTCCTTCTCCCTCATACTTGGCTGGTGAAGGGAGAAGGGCAGGAGTGAGCACCTCGGCTCTGCCACCTCTCACCTCAGGATGAGCTCTGAAGGGCTCCTCCTTCATCAGGAGGCACAAGGGCTGGGACACCCCATCCACGAAGCCGGGAAACGGCAAGGGCAGGAGATGGGGAAACACATACAGGGTCCCACAAGACAGGCAGGATGCTGCTCTGCCCCCACTGCCTCTCCCTTTTTTTCCCGCAATAAACGCTCTGGCGACTTAACAATAAGATCAATCGTACTTTTATCCCTCTTTAGACCACGCTTGTCGCCAACCAAACGTTACTTTACACGTAAAACCGAGGGGGCTTTTTTTGAAACAGAGTTTCCCCAGAAGACACAGGTTTGCTGAAGCATCACCCCGAAACACCGCGCAGTTTTACCCTAGAGGCACGGGCAACAAACGCTTGTGGAAATTTGAACCGCAACTCTCCAGCAGCAAAGATTGTTCCCTCCAAGAATGAAACAGTAGCAAAAGAAGAACTATTAGTAGGCTCTTATTACACAGCTTTCAAAACACCTATAAGTCATCAGGTTCTCCAGGCAGCGTTATTAAATTGCTGAAGTACCAGCAACATTAAAAGAAAAAAAAGCCGGGCCACAGCTGTTTCAGAGCCTGCCAATTAATAATTAAAGGAGGAAAAAAAAAGCCAACTAAAGAGAGGCCGTGTTGGAAGCCAGCTGAACGTACAGCTAAGTTTGTTTCGGGTCCTTCTCCCTCATACTTGGCTGGTGAAGGGAGAAGGGCAGGAGTGAGCACCTCGGCTCTGCCACCTCTCACCTCAGGATGAGCTCTGAAGGGCTCCTCCTTCATCAGGAGGCACAAGGGCTGGGACACCCCATCCACGAAGCCGGGAAACGGCAAGGGCAGGAGATGGGGAAACACATACAGGGTCCCACAAGACAGGCAGGATGCTGCTCTGCCCCCACTGCCTCTCCCTTTTTTTCCCGCAATAAACGCTCTGGCGACTTAACAATAAGATCAATCGTACTTTTATCCCTCTTTAGACCACGCTTGTCGCCAACCAAACGTTACTTTACACGTAAAACCGAGGGGGCTTTTTTTGAAACAGAGTTTCCCCAGAAGACACAGGTTTGCTGAAGCATCACCCCGAAACACCGCGCAGTTTTACCATGTGTTAACAGAAACACCTCCTCCCTCCTTCCCCCCCCCCCCAAAAAAAAACCCCCCCCCCCAAAAAAAAAAAAAAAGAGAGACTCGATGAAAGCCCCAGCCCCCGGCGTGCAGGCTGCCCCTCGGCTCCGGCCAAACACAAAGCGGTCGGTTCGGCGG